TATTCTTTTCACAGTGATGGAGAATATATTCGAGCCCCTCTGCCCCCTTCTCTCTTTTTTAGCTGGACTTTCCTATTCCTTCATCGCAGTGTCCCAGCCCTGCTTAATTTGGATGCAACTCCCAGTAGTTTCTCCTCAGTGGAGGGCTTTGTTCTAGGGGGACTGGACTTAACTTTGTAGTTTTAAGAATTCACAGGACTTAGACACGACACCATTAGACCTTGTGGTATTGAAGTCTTATCCATCAGTCAGAGCCTGAAGTGTCCATTCCCAGCTTCTGTTTCTGTTCCTGAGCTTTCCAGTGAGAACTTAATGGCAATTTTGGGTTCCCTGGCTCTCAGGACCTTTGCAAATCTCTCTGCCTTCCCTCTGTGGTTGCTAGTTTGTCCCAGTCTGCTTGTATTTTAGGGTCTGTATGGATATCTTGTCATTTAGTATTGTTTTATATGTTTTCTTTTGTGTTTTCTCTCTTTTTTGCTATAATAGTCAGCCCTCCAGATCTGTGGATTCCACATCTATGGATTCAACCAGCTGCAGATTGGAAATTTTCCACAAAAAAAAAGAAAGAAAGAAAAAATTACATGTGTACTGAACACGTAAAGGCTTTTTATCCTTTTCATTATTGAACTAGTGACAGCCTCCTAGATTTCTCCACTTAAATGTCTGTAGGCATTTTATTCAAGTTAGGTCTTCTAATACCAAATACCACTCTTGCCTACTCCAAGAAAACAAAATCAAACCCTGCTTTTAAATATTAGCACCACTAGGTCAAGCCAGAAACATGGGAGTCTTCATGAATTTTCTTCTCCAGTCAATCCCCCCAAATCCATGCCCTTCTCTGCAGGCCTACACCATTGCCCTTGTGCAAACTATCACCACCTCTTACCTGGATTAGCAACACAGCCTCTGAATTCCCCACACCATTCTCTGCCGCAGCCCCCTCTCAGCACCCTGTAATTCTGAGAGATCTTCTCAGAGGCAAAATTGATAAAAATACCTCCACCACCTCCCAACATACACTTGAACCCCTTCAGGGGTTTTCAGATCCCCTTAAAATGAACTCCAGACTCTTTACCAAACCTTATCACACCCTTCAAGATCTCACTTCTTAAGTCTCATTTTCTCCCATGCTCCCTTTCCTATTTTGTATTCTAACCATTCTGAAGTGGAAAAACAAGTCACCCTCTCTTTCACTGTCAGGTCTATGGTGCATGATGGCTTGTCTGCTCAGAATCCCATTCACAGTGGGTAGCTCCTCAGCCATTAGGCCGTAGCTTACAAACATGCTCTTGGGCAGGCAGTACTGGAATCTTTACTCTGGCTGAGATTCCCTTGTATGTTTTTGGAGTCCCTTCACCT